AGTAGTTTCATTCTATCCATATCCATAGACCCAATAATAAGCTGAGTGGATATTGGATGTCCTTTCAGTTTTTTATTTGGTCCTTTATGTGTTCTTGATAAGTCATTTTAGAGAGAAATTTCATGATATTGTTTTACATTTCTTTGTTTCATTTCAAGTTGACACTGACATCTACTTACTACTGTACACTTCTTCTTTGATTATATTCCTTCACAAAACCCAATATATATATACATGATTAAATAAATTATCCTAAAAAATTTAAATTTATAGCTAAAATATAAATATAATATCACTTCACCATATTTTTTAAAATACTTAACACAGTTAACTTTAAATGTTATATATAAATTATTAATTCACAATAAATTTCACATAACATCTGATATAATATATGTATTATTCTCAAATCTCTAAACCTAAAAAATTGTATTTTATTACAAAACAAGATTGCTTATTCTAGTCAAGGAACAATAGAGCAAAGGTGAACAAACCTCTCTTCATAATTGGAGGGAGGGCCTCTTAATGCTCTTTTGTAATAATAAGATATTTAATAATAATAATAATTTTCTTTCAAATCTTTGATAGAGTCGTATAAAACATAACTAAAATTAGTATAATTAATATATAAATTATCGACAAACAATACCCGAATATTAAAAGTCTAATAGCATTAAAAGAAAATGAGAACTATTTTAGTAAGAGCAAAGAAGAAAAGTTATTGGATAAGCTTTACTAATACTCAATTAAGTTTAAAAGCTATAGAGAACTTGAAATCCTCATACAAAATCTAAAACCTGAAATCCTGTGTTGTTCCCTTCTTCTTTTGCTCTCTTTACTTCCTTACTTTTCTATTTTCTTTCTCTCTATGTTCATCTCTATTTTGGGCTCTACTCAGTGTCATTCCTTTTACGTTTTTGTCTATGTCAAATAGATGAATAGAATGCATTAGAACAAAAAACTCTCTCTCATTTTTTTACTCAAATAGTTTAAAGGATTAATAGAGACCCAAATTAATTGAGAGTAAGATGAGCTGGGCAGTCTTAGCTAAAATGAGTTTTGTGTTCTATTAATAGAGACCCAAATTAAATTGAATATTCCAAAAAACCCAACTTAGAAATTGACATCTTTTTTTAATTATGTATTAACACAAATTATATAATTAAGATGGTTAAATATAAACTTTTATAAGAGGAATAAAAGCTGCAAATTTCCTTATAGAAAGCTGCAACAGCCAATCCATGAAATAAAAAAATTTATGTTATCCTTGCCACATTGTGAACACCTTATAGATCCTTCAAGTTTCTTTCCAAATCTCTTTTCTTCTTAAATTTTACTCTCTCACTTTCTCACATTAAAATCCCATATCTTGGTCCACTTCACTGAAATATCAACGCATTGTGTATGTATATACATACGTACATATGATTTGTTTATGATAAACAATAATAATAATTATAGTTATAAGGGTGCTTCATAATTTCTTTTCTTTAAAAAGTATACTTTATATGTACAACGTTTTCTTGCATCCCTCCCCTCAAAATCACACTCTGTTTCTCTCTATATAAGACCCATTTGACAGCAACTCAACAATCTCCTCTGTACCCCAAAACAGAATTGAAGCAGAGCAGCAGATCCCCTCAATGGCTGTTTCAAATCCTACCCTCTATCTTCTTTCTTTTCTTCTTTTCTCTATATCCCTAACGCCCGTCATTGCTTCTAAATCGGTGAGAACATTTATATCTTGGTCTTCTCTTTTCTCTCTCTCTCTCTCTTTTTTTTTTTTTTAAAAAAATAATTATTGTTGTTATTAATGATTTTTTCATAATCTGCAACTCGGCCTGCCGTTTTAGTCCTATGTGGTGTACTTGGGAGCTCATTCTCACGGCCTAGAATTATCATCAGCTGATCTTGATCGAGTAAAAGAATCCCACTATGATTTTCTTGGATCATTCTTGGGGAGGTAAAGAAACTTTCTGCAACTCGGGTTATCTTCATTCGATCAAATGAGACGTCTTTGATGACATTAAACTATTCTGATGTTTTTCTTTACAGTCCCGAAGAAGCCCAAGAATCCATTTTCTACTCCTACACAAAGCACATCAATGGCTTTGCTGCAGAATTGAATGATGAAGTAGCTGCTAAGCTAGCAAGTAAAAAGCCTCTGTTTCCCCTGTTTTCCTCTGTTTTCTCTCTGTTTCTTTCTCTATATTCTGTTAAGAGTTTGTAATGGTGATTTGGGTTATTCTTTAAATCAATGTTATAGAGCATCCGAAGGTGGTTTCAGTCTTTTTGAACAAAGGAAGAAAGTTGCACACAACTCGATCGTGGGACTTTCTTGGGCTGGAGCAAAACGGCGTAGTTCCATCAAGCTCAATATGGAAGAAAGCCAGATTTGGTGAAGATACAATTATAGGAAACCTCGATACTGGTTAGTTTCCTTTTTTCTTCCTTTGGATTTCTAATCTTGTTAAGCCATGTACAGCGTCTAGAACTGTTTAGTCAACTTTCCTCAGTCCACTTGGTTGATTCAGATTGGATCCGACGCAGAAAAGATTGAACTTGAATAGTTGACTTCAGTTACGCAGCGAAAGAGAAATACATATATATATATATATATATATTATTTTACGGAATTAGTGTTAATAAAAAAATGGATTTGAAGAAGCACGTAGAGAATTACGTAAGCTAATATATGATAATTATGGAAGCATTAACTACCCCACGTTCATGCATATGATGAAATCTTCATTAAATTATACTTTTGTTGCCTAAACAATGGACCACCCTCGTAAACTCTTATTATAAATAAATAAATAAATTAATTAATATGTCGCTTTTAAACGAAGTAATATTTATATATATATTTATAAAAATCTGAATTTTAGTTAAATTTAATGATTTCTAATATATTTTTTAAATTGATTATGTTGTCAGCATATATTATTTAATTATTAAAATATATAAATTTTTATTAAAAAAATTAACTAGTAAACCATAAATGAAGATCAAAACCTGATATGAAGAAGAAAAATATGAAAGAAAATGGAGATAAAGGTTTATACCCAGAAAGGGTTTTTGTTTTGTTTTTTTTCCAAAAAAGTGAGTGTTTTTGGGGAGGATGTCTATATGTGTGTATATTGAGTTGGTGTAGGGTGATGGTAATGTTTGATTGGAACATTGTGGAAGGTGTGTGGCCTGAATCAAAAAGCTTTAGCGACGAGGGGTTGGGACCGATTCCATCAAAGTGGAGAGGAATTTGTGACCATGGCAAAGATTCTTCATTTCACTGCAACAGGTCAGTCACTCCACCCCCTTCTTTTTTGACCTAACCATTCACTCCTAGCTATTTTTACAGTACTAAACTTGGTCAAATGTACAAATATAATATGAAGATAATATAACAAATTATTATATTACATTGTGTTTGATACATAATGCACGTGGTTTGTAATCTTCCCAAAAAAATTCAACTTACATAGATGACAACATATTGTGTTGTAATGTAAGACGATAATTTCTATTAGATTTTGTTAGTATTTTATGCCAAATAAACATAGATTAAAGACAAAAATTGTGTTCCTTCCTAGAAACTTTAGTCATTTGTGTTTGAGTTTTGTGAGGTCTGAACTAGGGAGATGTCAAACACTGGTACTAATTTGAGCTTGTGGTTCTCTTTCATCAATTGGTCCAAATTATAATCCAAAAAACTGGTGGGTATTTTTATTTGGCAATTTCAGCTTTGTGCAATCAATTCACAGTCACACAATTTCTTCTCACAGTATCGCAAATATCTAATCTCTCCTTCGATTGTGGGGGACCGGAATCTCTTGAAAAAGCACATTCCTTTGCTTTCCCTTCTTTTTTTTTTTTTTTTTTTTTTTTGACTTTGCATTTCTCATGCCCCTTTTTACACTAAAAACAAAATTAACACCACTAATAGCTTAAGTAATTAACTAATTAATTAAAAGTAATCCTTTATGGATTGAATTATGTTTGTCAGTTTGTTTAAATCTTCAAGATAAACGTAATTAATTTCTATTATTCTGTTGGCTGTTTATAATATAGATTTTATTTGTTGATATAAAGCAAAATTATTTATTACACATATAATATTAGACAAAAGTTTTTTATTTCATATTATCTTCTTAATCATGTACAAATTTCTATATAATTTTTTGGTAAACTTATACATTAACAACGTGGTGACTGGAAACTGGGATTTTCTGCTCCCATCATTTGATTTCTCTATCGACTTTGCCCATCCTAGCTATTCATTTGTAGATTGATAAGTAAGTGTTAATTACTAATAATTCTATGTATAGTTTCGCGGTGGAAAGTGTATATGCATATAAATGTGTTATGGTGTACATTGAAGGAAGTTGATAGGAGCAAGATTCTTCAACAGAGGATATGCCAGTGCGGTAGGCTCATTAAACTCGTCCTTTGAATCACCTCGTGATAATGAAGGGCATGGGACACATACCCTTTCAACAGCTGGAGGTAACATGGTAGCAAATGCCAGTGTGTTTGGGCTAGGCAAAGGGACAGCCAAAGGAGGGTCGCCGAGAGCCAGAGTTGCTGCCTACAAGGTGTGCTGGCCTCCCGTACTGGGCAACGAATGCTTCGATGCAGATATTCTAGCAGCCTTTGATGCTGCCATTCACGACCGTGTTGATGTGTTGTCTGTGTCATTGGGTGGTACAGCTGGTGGTTTCTTTAACGACAGTGTAGCCATTGGATCTTTTCATGCAGTCAAGCATGGTATTGTGGTGGTTTGCTCGGCTGGAAACTCTGGCCCAGACGACGGTAGTGTGTCTAATGTTGCACCGTGGCAGATCACCGTTGGGGCAAGCACTATGGATAGGGAGTTCCCTAGTTATGTTCTACTTGGCAATAACATGAGTTTCAAGGTAATCTTTAACAAAAAAAACATGTTAATTAATATTTTTGTATTAAATATATGAATCTTAATTAATAATCTTTGTCTTGTTTGATTTGATCTCTAAGGGAGAAAGCTTATCAGATGCAGTTTTACCGGGCACAAACTTTTTCCCACTTATCAGTGCCCTTAATGCCAAAGCAACAAATGCATCAAATGAAGAAGCGTAAGAATTTTAGCTCTTTGTTTCTTTATTATAATATGTGTTTTAACTTAATATATGAGTTATCGTATTTGAAATATGTAGGATATTATGTGAGGCCGGGGCTCTTGACCCCAAGAAGGTGAAGGGGAAGATCTTGGTGTGCCTTAGAGGCTTAAATGCAAGAGTTGACAAAGGACAACAAGCTGCTTTGGCCGGCGCTGTTGGCATGATTCTTGCTAATAGTGAGCTTAATGGGAATGAAATCATTGCTGATGCTCATGTGCTCCCAGCTTCACACATTAGTTTCACAGATGGTCTTTCTGTTTTCGAGTACATTAATTTAACCAAGTAAGATTTGGATTATCTACTCCGTAACTCTTTTTGCTCCTTCACCTGGTTTTCTTCTATTTCTAATTTTCTATATTTCATAGTTCTCCAGTGGCATATATGACTCGTCCAAAAACAAAGTTACCTACAAAACCAGCTCCAGTCATGGCAGCTTTCTCATCAAAAGGTCCCAACATTGTAACACCAGAAATTCTCAAGGTGTTCTAGCGAAAATGCTTAGTTAATTCTATCCATACGTAAATCTCAAGTAGCTAACAAATAAGTGTTGATTCTATTGTAGCCTGATATAACAGCACCGGGAGTAAATGTCATAGCCGCCTACACAAGAGCTCAAGGGCCAACAAATCAAAATTTCGACAGGCGTAGAGTACAATTCAACTCTGTCTCAGGAACCTCAATGTCTTGTCCTCATGTTTCAGGCATTGTAGGCCTCCTTAAAACCCTCTATCCTTCCTGGAGTCCTGCTGCTATTCGATCAGCTATCATGACTTCTGGTAATTAAATTAAAAGCCAGTTAGATTTATATAAATTTATCTGCTGGAATTCCAACGTGGCTTTTCTTTTATGCACAGCAACCACCATGGACAACATAAACGAGTCTATTCTCAATGCATCAAATGTTAAAGCAACACCATTTAGCTATGGAGCAGGACATGTTCAACCAAACCAGGCCATGAATCCTGGGCTGGTTTATGACTTAAACACAAAGGATTACCTCAAATTCCTATGTGCCTTGGGCTACAGTAAAACACTAATCTCGATTTTCTCAAATGATAAGTTCAATTGTCCCAGGACTAATATTAGTCTCGCCGATTTCAACTATCCTTCGATCACAGTCCCTGAACTCAAGGGTTTAATTACCTTGAGTCGAAAAGTAAAAAATGTAGGTTCACCGACTACTTACAGAGTTACAGTACAAAAACCAAAAGGAATTTCAGTGACTGTAAAGCCAAAAATACTGAAGTTCAAAAAAGCTGGAGAAGAGAAAAGTTTCACTGTCACTCTCAAGATGAAAGCCAAGAATCCTACCAAGGAGTATGTGTTTGGAGAGTTGGTGTGGTCGGATGAAGATGAACACTACGTAAGGAGTCCTATAGTGGTGAAAGCAGCTTAATTGATTAATTAGAAACAATAATGTTGGTTTAAGATATTATATTTTTTACCTTTGTGGTAGCAGGAAAAAGAAATGCCTTCTAGTTTACACACCCATGTTATGCTTTATCAAGAATAAAAGTCTCTTGCTATTTTTTTTTGCCATTTTCGTTTTGTTAATCATATCTAATGGCCACAAAACTGCGAAAATGTTGAAATTCATAAATGCAAGAGATGTTGGAGATAGGAGGAAAAGGCTAGAGAGACTAATGAGAAAACTCAAAATTTTCTATTGTACTTCTTACAAAAAACCTTTAAGTACATGATTATTTATAAACTATAACTACTACAATTAATTGTAACTACCAACAAATATAATAAATCTAATTTATGATCCACAACTGCTACCAAACCAAATGATATATAAAAACTCTAATTTATAAATTTTAACTACTAACAAACTAATTACTTATATTATAATTTACGAATTAATTCTTAACATTCTCCCTTAATTTGCAAATCTTGTTTTCAATCCAAGATTAATGCATAGTTTTTGAAAGACTTCAAACTTGAGTGGTTTGATGAAAATATCCACCACTTGATCTTTAGTCTTTACGTGCTTGAGATCTACTTCCTTTTTAGCAATGCAATCTTTAATAAAATAATATCTTGTGTCTATGTGTTTGCTCCGTTCATGAAATACCGGGTTCTTGGCTAATGCTTATGCGAACTTATTATCAATAAAAGTTTTAATAGCTTCATTCTATATTAAATAAAGTTCTTTCAATAATTTTGTAAGTCATCTGGCATGACAAGCACAAGAGGTTGATGTCACATATTCAGACTCACAAGTTGATAGTATAACAATGACTTACTTCTTAAAACTCTATGTAATTGCACAATCACCCATTAATAATAAAAAATCAGTTGTATTTTTTCTATCACCAATATTTCCAACGAAATCACTATTACAAAATTTTACAAACTTGAAATTATTAGAAAATGAATAAAATAACCCAAAGTCAATAATATCTTTAAGGTAATGTAGAACTCTTTTAGCAACATTCATTTGGGAGGTAGTAGCAGCTTCTACAAAACGACTTATTAGTCCAACTGTAAAAAGAATATCAGACCTTGTAAATGTCAAGTATCTCAAACTTTCTATAAGATTTTTAAAGAGAGTGGGATCTATTTTTTCTCCATTATCAAACTTTGATAACTTGACTCCACATTCCATCGGTGTGTTCACAAGATTACAATTAAGCATTTTGAATTTCTCTAAGACTTTTCTTGCATATCCTTATTGAGAAATAAAAATACCATCTTCCATTTGCTTCACCTCAAGGCCCAAATAATAAGACATGAGCTTCATATCTCATTTCAAATTCAAGTAATATGTTTTTCTTGAATTCTTCAAACAAACTTGGATTGTTGCTCGTGAAGATGAGATCATTCACATATAGACACATAAATATAGTATCACCATTAGAATGATACTTTACATAAAGAACATATTCATGAAGGCAACGAACAAATCCGTTATCTTCAAAAGACTTATTTATACAGCTATTTCATGCTCTTAGCGCTTGTTTTAGCCCATACGAAGCTTTTTTCAATTTCAACACTTTATCTTCAGGCCCTTCAACCATGAAACCCAATGGTTGTTCTACATAAACATTTTCGTTAAGATAGTCATTAAGAAATGTCGATTTTACATCAAGTTGAAAAATTTTCTACTTTGTTTGAGCTGAAATAGCTAAGAACAAGCGAATAATCTCCATGCGAGCAACTGGTTCAAAAACCTCATCATAATCAATCCCATGCTTTTGCTTGTATCCTTTAGCCACAACTCTTGCCTTATACCTTTTCACATTTCCTTGATAATCTTCTTTAGCTTTATAGACCAATTTGACACCAATAGCTTTATATCCCTTAGGAAGAGTGAGTAGCTCCCATATGTTATTATTTTCTATGGATTTGATCTCTTCATCCATAACTTGTCTCTATCTTGCAATTTTGATGACTTCATCAAAATTCATTGGTTCACTGTCAAGAAAAAGATAAAACAAATTATTTATATCAAAATTATTGATTTTCTCAGTTTCATCATAAAGATCTTGAATGCTCTTCAACTTTCGTGGCCTTTCACTTGAACTTTCTTGAGAAGTGGGTGATGCAACATGAATTGGAGAATGATGTGGAGTTATCTCTTGTAAAGGTACCATGGTCTCTTGGTCTTCCTTTTCAAAGTATGGAAAGAAATCATAAGCATTTTCTTCTTTCTTTTCTCAATTCCAAGTCACTTTTTCATTAAATTCAATATCTCTACTTACCATGATCTTGTCATTACTTGGATTATACAATTTATATCCTTTTGAGTTTGTATCATACCCAATGAAGATATGTTTGACACTTCAATCGTCGAGTTTAGATCTCTCTTGTTGTGGAACATGAGCATATGCAAGACTTTCAAAAACTCACAAATGGTTGACATTAAGTTTCATTTTGCTTAATGCTTCTTGGGGAGTCATATTTTTTAAACTTGATGTTGGAGACCTATTAGATAAATATAATGCACAAGAAATTTCTTCGGCCCAAAATTCCTTGGGCATATTTTTTATTTTCAACATGTTTCTAGTCATATTAAGAATAGTTTTATTCTTTCTTTTTGCAACTCTATTTTGTTGTGGTGATCTTAGAACTGTTAAAGGGCGATGAATTCTATTAGATTTAAAGAAATCATAGAATTCTTTGCAAGTAAATTCACTTCATCTATCTGTTCTCAAAGACTTTATTTCACAACTACAATTTTTTTCTATAAGAGTTTTGAAAATTTTAAAAGTAACAAAAACATCTAATTTTTGCTTTAAAAAATATACATAAATTTTTCTACTAAAATCATCAATAAATAGTAGAAAGTATTTATTTTTATCAAATGAGAGTGGATTGATTGGCCCACACACATCGGCATTCACAAGTTAAAGTAGCCTGGTTGCTCTTGTAGTAGTTTCTTTTGGGAAACTCCTTCTTGAATGCTTTCCAAGTAGACATGCTTCACATAATTGATTAGCATGGTTGATTAATTGCATCCCTTTCACCATTTTTTCTTCTCCCATCGCCTTAAGTGTGCCAAAGTTCAATTGGCCGAATCTCATATGCCAACATCTTGCTTTAGATGAACATGTTATTCTTTGACATATGCACCTTAGCAATCAAATTAACACTTTGATCTCTAAGCGAAAGACAATAACCTTTCATATGAATTTCATATTCATTTTCAAGAAGTTGACTTAAACTCAAAATATTATTTTTTAACTTTGGCACATAGTAAACATTAGTAATAAGTACATACCCACATTTTTTTTTGAATAGATTAAAATTGTACATTTTTCTTGAATTTGAACTTTCGAAGAGTCTTTAAAGAAACATTGTCATTAATCTTCTAATCAAACTCCACAAAGTTTTCTTTATTGGCACACATGTGATTGCTTGCTCCATTATCCAAGTACCATGAATTATAGGTATCACTATCTCCCTCTTTACATGCTAGCAACAAAGTTGTTTCTTTCTCATTTTGTTTATGATTGACAAAGTTGGCTTGTTCCTCCTTCTTGTTTAAAGTGCTATGACATTCCCAAGCATAATGTCTATATTTGTGATAATTGTAACATTCAATATTTGATTTATTAGAATTCCTATATTTACCTCTTCCTCTTCTTCTTCTTATTCTACGCCTCTATTTGAGGGTTAACTTTTGTCTTCATTATCGACATCATCTTGAGTTTCATTTTTTTAAAATGTTTGACCATGGCCACAACCCCGTCCTCTACCTCTTTCTTGTTCGCTTTGCTTTCGACCATCATTCAAAAATGCATTTGATTTGAGAACTTGTTCCAAACGCTCTTCTTGTCTTCTCTTCATTTTTTTTTTCTTCATGAGCTTATAGAGATTCCTTTAATTGTTCAAATGTCAAAATATATAGATCCTTTTATTCTTCAATGGTACAAACCATATAGTTGAATTTTGGTGGCAACAATTAAAAAATTTTCTGCACCACACAAACATCTTCTGTCATCTCATCATATCTCTTTATGTGGCTTACTATAAACTTTACCCTTGAGCAAAAATATGAAATGGATTTAAAATCCTTCATTTGTAAAACTTCAAACTCGTCTCGTAAAGTTTGGAGTCGTACCTTCTTCATATTGTCGACTTCTTGGAGAGAATTCTTCAAAATCTCTCAAGCTTGCTTTGCGTTGGCAGCATCAGTCACCTTTGGAAACATAGATTCATCCAAACTTTGATGAATGAGTGCAAGGGATTGTTGATCCTTCTTCTTTGTTCTTGTAAAAATATCCTTCTCATTTTGAGTTAAGGATCCTTCATCTTTGGATGGAGTAAAACCTTTTTCTACAATATTCCACATATCTTATGAGTCAAGTATAACTTTCATACAAAAACACTAACTATTATAGTTTTTTTTATAAGACGAAAAAATTGGAAAGAAAATAGATTATGCTAATCATCTCTAGAATTTTAACAAGGAACCAAACTCTGTTACTACTTCGTTGGAGATAGGAAAAAGAGGTTAGAGAGACTAATGAGTAGACTTAAATTTTTCTATTATAATTCTTATAAAAAAAAAAAAAAATCAAGTACATGATTATTTATAGACACTATTACAACTATTAAATTTAATTGTAATCATTAACACATATAATAAATCTAATTTATAATTTACACCTATTATCAAATTAAAAAATATATAGAAATTTTAATTTATAAAATTCAATTATAAAACGAACCAATTAATTATATTCTAATTTATAAATTAATTCAGAGATGATTATTTTGTTAATATATACCAAAACTTAGCAGAGTGGGAAAAAAGATCGATTACAAAATAGAGCTGTATTACATATATATATTATGATCGTTTCGGGATATATCAAAGCGTGGTGACTTAATTTTTGCTGCTTCTTAGCTTTGAATTTCTCCTCAGCCGAAACCAAAAAGGCCCAAAATCAAATAGAGAATTTCTCCAGATTTAACATGAGCCCTCTTTGGAATTCCACATATGGATATGCTATCGGTTGCTCATTCTCTTCTGTTCTCCATCTGCAAGCCCAATTCTCCACATGATTTAGCCCATGCACAAAATATAATATATATATATATATATATATATATATATATATATAAAACATTTCAAATTCAAGTCAACTTTATATTTTCATCTAAAGAGTGAAATAGTTGTCATATCTTAATACCAGTACCTTAATAAAATTAAAAGTTAGAGCAGTTGAAAGCACCTGTGATTAACTTGAATATAAATTTAAGATCACCCTTTTTTTTTTTTTTAAAGGGTTAATCCGATACCTAATATTACATTAGAAAAATACGTAATTATTGAGTTTTATATAAAAATTCAAATCACATACTACCAATTTCGACAGTTTGAAAATATAAATCTGAAAGTTATTGAATTAGGAGTGCTTAAGTCAGGAAAATTACATATTAAGCACTAAACCGATCATTCATGAGATTTACTAACTCAACATCTAGGTCGGTAACATAAGCTTAATTTTAAAATGTAGTTAAAAATAATTATACCTGAAATTCCGTACAAGGTGGTGGAGGAAGAATGCAACCTCAACCTTGGCAAGTTCAGAACCTGGACAGCACCTAGAGCCTCCACCAAAGGGTGTGAATTTCTTGCATGTTTGATCTTGGCTCTGGAGTACATAAATAAACAACAATAACAACAAATCATTAATTGAATTTTAATTAAAAAATTAGATGAGATACGGTAATTGAATTAAACTAATCCTTAATTAATTAGATAATAATTAATTACATGAGGGCTATGAACAGGCTAATCTCTATACCAAAAGAAAAAGTCAATCACATACAAAATTTAAAAAGCATTATGTACCCCAGTTTAAAAGACTAAAAAGCTATTAGCTTGTCCTACATATATTGGTCCCCCACTCAACATCAAATTATTAATCATGCCTTGTTTTTCTTAAAGCAGTAATTAAGCAAATATAAAAAAAAAGTTATGCATTTGATTAGCCATTATTGTTAATTAATTAGATGTAATTATATGATAAAGTTACATTATTACCTCCCATCTCCAAGGATAGAATTGGGGAGCACTTGCATGGAGAGATGGGTCTAAATGTACTGCAGTAAAAACAGGTAGAACCTTCCAACCACATGGAATTACATAATCTGTCACAAAATTAATGTAATTTATATTAACCCAAATTTGTATTTTAATTAAGTAAATCAATTTAAATAGTCAAAAACCTCTAAATTTGACTTCTTTAAGGGCTTTTCTGTGCACAAATTTTACAACGTTCCCATATCTGAGAGCTTCATTGATGACCTACAAAGAAAATTAACATGCAATTATCTATATCTATATATATATATATATATATATATAGTAATATTGAGCATTGTAAGTAGTTATAGTATTGCTGGCAGCTGAGAAACAAAAAAGTGCTCTAGAGACTTCATATCATCATTGCATGCTAGAAATTACCAAAAAGAAAGATAATTAATTAGTAAATATAGTCAAGAGTAATTACATGTTGGGTAAAATCCATTCTCCTGTAGTCTTCCCAGTTCAAAAACTCATCTTTCTGCTTCATGTTTCTGATAGTCTCATGCTCTACCTATACGTTTTTGTGGACATCAAGTCTTTTATTATATAAATTATTGAATGCATATACATATATTTTAAGGTTTGATGTATGTATATATATATATATACCTTTAACTGTCGTAATGCATTGGGTGAGTGAGCTAGAAAATGCACCAGCATTGCCATTAAGAGAGATGTAGTTTCATAGCCACCCAGAAGAGAATCAAGAACAAAGCTCACTTTTTCATCTTCAGATAAGGTATCAACTCCCAGAAGTATCCCCAGAAAATCACTGCTACTACTTTTTCCACCATTACTCTTTCTTCTTTCCTCTATAATTGCTTTGACAGTAGAAGATATTCTGCTTCTAGCCTGTAAAGATGGTCAAACAAAAAGTTGATCATCACATGCCTCCTTTTTCCAACCAAAAAGGAAACCCACCTCAAAACACATAATTATAAACAAAGCCTTTCTTCTAAATTATATCAAATCAAACTTTTTTTTAGAAACCCCAAAAAAAAGAAGAAAGAGTTTGATTTGATTACCTGAACAGCTCTTGCATATGGAGTGCCAGGGATGTAGAGTGGAAGAGATATAAGTCCCCTCATGAAAGTAAGAAAATCTTCAAGAATTTTTGAGGTCTCTGGATCATCTGGTGTTAAACCTAGCACTTGCTTTACTATTACATTGAATGTGAACTGGGTGGGTTATGATGGAGGAAAAAAGAAAAGAAGAGAAAAAGAAAATGGAAAAGAAAGTTAGCAATCAATCATATTGATGCTTTATGTATACATAACAAATCCAATATAAATACAGTACTTTTCTGGCCTCTTCACAGAAGATGACTTGTGGCTTATCTTTCCAAGAGTGGAGAATCTGGATGGCAAATCTCTCAATGTCGTGGAGGAAGTCAGGGTTTGATTTGGTGATGGTGACAAGGGAAAGAGCCACATTTCTTAGCCTCTTATGGGTTTCACCCACTGCAACCAGCATGGAGACTTTGCCAAGAATTCCATGGATAGGCTTCGGGTAGCTGCACTGAAACAATTTACCTTCGTTTTGGAGTATGAAGTAGTTGAGTTCTGGGTCACAAGACACCACTGTTGGAGAGAAGAACAAGTGGGATTTGAACACTTTTCCATATCTGAAATTAAATTTCCCAAGACATCATAACCTTGTATTAACCTTCACATCAATATCATTACAGCTAGCCACTCTACCCTACATAAATTAGATGACAATTTGACGCTTCTACATAATTTATATCTGTATGTACATGTGTTCGGTGTGCTATCCTACTTTTCTCTTTTGATAATGAAAGAAAAAAAAAATTGACTTGGGTTTATCAATATAGCCTGTTTAGATCATATCAACATCAAGAAGCGTGCAAGCCTAGCTCATACATATATGTATATATGTGTGTGTGCATGTATATAAAAAGACATACCGAGAACAGTGGTCTTGAAGAAAAGAGCCAAGAGAATTGGAAGGGTGGGGCGTCAAAAACCCGAGTGTTTCACCGAGGATCGGCCACCCAAAAGTGCCCTTAGGAGCAAGGACAGGCTTCCAGAACAAAGGCAAGAAATGGTTCAATATAACCACTACCACAAACCCAACTAAACCACTCACCAGGATAAGCCAAACACACAGAACCATGGATGGAGGAAGAAGATAGGAGATCAGAATTAGTGGGTTTGAGGGGGAAGCCAAGTGATTGGCCTGGCATTAAATTTATAGAGAGAGGTTTTTTTTTTTTGGAGGAGAGATTCCTTATGTTTTATTCTAAACAATTTGCGGGAAAAGCTAACAGGCTTTTGTTTTGTTACAGTACTACTTTACTACTCAATGAGTTCACTTTTCAGGGTTTAATTTAAGGCACTGTACATGTTTTGATTGTCTTACCATCTACCTGACCCTCTATTACTAGCCCTTGGGATGCAGAAACTCTATATATTTTGTATGTATATAATACACTTGTGTATAATATTTCCAGAAAATGCATGTACACACTGATGATATTTTAACAAATATCTTGTAAATCTAAGAAACATATGTAATTATAGTTTTAAAATCTATATGTATAGGTTTCGTATGTGATCCATGATGTTGAGATTTAAATGCAAGTACATAATTGTACCTGTTCTATATATATCCGTTCTTGCATGCATTCTCTATCTATATACACTTCAATTTAAGAAAACATACGTAACTAATTCATTCTTTTTGTTGATCATCCCGTTTCCATGAGTTTCTTGGGGGTGATATATGTATACACACACATCAGAGTCAAAGCACATCTTGCATCTTGGATTCCTCAATATGATTATTTCGTTTTTGCAGAAGGGACCATTTCCGTTTTCATTTCCCTTCACTTGAAATTTGCTAGCAAAGAATGACGCATATACAGGTTTAGTGAATATTGATGAGTATAAAGTTTGAATATAATAAACTAATTTGAAGATTAACATGAGAAAGGAAGTAAGTGAATTGTTTGATGTATTGACAAGGGTAAGGATTGCAGAGGGATTATCTGTCTCTGACTCATCACGTTGCTCGAGATGGCACGAGGAGATGTCAGTTGGACCAAATTCTTGTTTTCTCTCTTTATTACCTTTGACTCATTTTCCCCTTCCCCTTCCTCTCTCTCTCTCTTTTAATGTAACAAATTAAAGAAGCTTGATTTTTTGTTTTTTTTTATTTAAATTTTCCACTCATACTTTATTTTTATCACTCGCTAGAAAATACAAAAAAAAAAAAGGTTTACTCCAAATTTTTTAAAATATTTTCTCTATCACCATGTTTTGAGTAAAATTAATTATACATTTTTTAGAAAAAAAATTCGAAATAAACTTCAACCGAGAAGGTATTTATACTCGAAATTGATACAAGTTAGATAAATATAGAATAACTATGAGCGCGAGATAACTCTTTTTTAAAAAATTAAGCAAAATAGTCTTGTAACTTTGAAAGAAATGGTGTCTCCTCGTAATAGTGACTAAACTCAAACAATAATTTATTAAAAAGATAAGTTTTCACAAATTCGTAAGAAAAATTGATGTTTGACTAATGTTGAAAAATTAGATTTAAAAAATTTAATTATCGTATTTTTTTATTTAAAAATATTAATAAAATTTAATTTAATTATTGTATTTTCATTAATATATAACTAAAATTTAAATCACGTTTAATCGAGTTTATAACATAATATATTTATAAAATAAGAAATTTTTTGTATCAGTGGTTTAAATAAAAGTCTTAGCTATTATATTATTATATTATATTGGTAGTATGTTTTGTTTATTTAAAGTTGCATGCTTGGTTAGTGAGGTAAAATTTGAAAAAGCATTTGCAAAAGGCAAGCCAAATAGAGTCTAAAATGAAATAACATAGCTCATTCCCATTACTCAAATTTCAATTTTCAAAATCTTGATTGAATTCAATTCAAACCTCTTTCCATACGTAAGAGCTTTATATAGAGATTGCAGACAGCCAGAAATGAAGGATCAGAAAAGCTGATCCTCTTTTTGCCCTCCTCAACATATATATATATATATATATATAAACATATAAACATATAATATATATATATATATATAGAGGCAGTAGGAGTGTATATATAATATAGTGTCGTGAGTGGGAGTAGTGACTATACAGGCAATAAAAGTTGCAGTTAAATCTACTTAGTACAGCAATCCCATGAACTACTACTCCTCTTTTTATTTGTCTCTTTACACATAACCCATCTGTATATATATATGTATATTTTTTTTTATCAATTATTTCATGATAAGAAGTTAATGACTCAAACTCATATTTTTTTAAAGAAAATATATGAAACTGAAAAATAATATATTTATTTTTTAATTTTTTTTTCTAAACATATATTTATTAATTAAATAATACATATACATTAATTATAATAAATACAAATAATTTAAAAAAAAAAAACACATCAGAGATATAGTACCACTCAAATATATAATTTCTATATATTTAATATGAAGCAAAAAAATATAATTAAACAGAGAAATTAAATGGTCATGCATAACAATAAGTGTCAATATACTTATACTGCATTTCAGTAATAATAATAATTAACTTCTATTTCATTGAAAAAACATTACTTGTTTTATTTTTGAGAACAAAATATGTTGACATACTCACATTGGCATTTTATGATATCTTGTAATAATGAAAAAGAATAGTCACGTTAAAATTAATGAAATTTTTTATTTTGATATAGTATTAAAGTTAATTAAATCTGAAGTGAATTTATTCAAGTTTATTGCTAAATATAATTTAATTATTCTACAATAAATTATTTTTTACCTATTAATTAGGATGTTAAAAAATTAATCACTAAATATATAAATTAATGGGTTCATTCAAACACCTTAGAATTATTATTGGCCGCGATCACTGGCTTGGTATGTCAGCTGTGCATGTCTTATCCTGTATATATATATATATATATATATATATATATATATATATATATAAACAATGTCAAAGCAACTTTATATATATATATATATATATATATATTATTGTCGTGCTTTTTGGGACTTTTGCTCTTTACTTTTCCCCCCTTCTTCTCGGCCTTTTTTTTTCCCTATAATATTGCTCTACAAGAAAAAGTAAGCAAGAAATTATTAGATTTTGTTCCGATCCAATTTATCGGGCTTAAGAAAAGCTACATAATGTTTAATTAACTTGTTAATTTAATTATTTTATTCTCAGAAAAAATAACATTATTTATCTCTTCTAAAGAGATAATTGAAGAAAAGTGATTATTTATTGAAAATATTTATATACATGCAGATTTGAGGTACAATATTGTTAATCATAATGTAAATATTCACCTTTTTACTAGTAAGTTAGTCAACTTGGAAAAAAAAAAAATATTTTTATTATGGTAAATATTAAAACTAAATTTGAATAGAAAAAATTCCCTGAATTATTGCACATTTGAAAATTAAAAGAAAGCTAAAGAGCTTTCAAAATAAAGCAAGAAAAGGGATTAATCTTAGTGAAGTGATTGCACGTGCAACCACGTGGTCCCCGTAGGAACATAGAATCATTACCGCTATGGGACAACTCACTCACCCGTGCGTCTCCTTAAATTTCAAAAACCATATACATATATATATATTTTTAAAAGTTAACTTCCAAAATGCAAATGCAAATGCAGAGTTGATTTCTCTCTCTATATACACAGTAATTGGTAGGTTAATAGATTGAATAGAATATTATTTTCAGTCAGCTTTTACATGAAATTTGGAGACCGGCTTCCCCAGGATGCAATTGTTGTCAACAACTTTAATATGAGAAAAAAGAAAATATTGGAAACAAGTGAGGAGGATTCACATCTTTTCAATTTTTCCTAATAATAAATGCATTTATCCCACAATCAAACATTCAAAACCAAATCAATAGCTGCAAGTCACGCATCAAAATGTTAATAGAATCCTATGCCTGTCTACAATTCCCAAATAACATAGCAAGTTGAAGGAAGCCCTACTTATTCTGAACTTCCAATTTCAGCGCAGCATCTTCTAATATATCATCTTCCTGTTTAGTTAATAAGCATTTTCTTTAAAAGATTTCAAGCAACAATACCTCCCTACATTCTAATAAACAAGCAACTCATCATAGACAAAGGAGATCAACTTCTACTCCTAGCTTTCAGACCATGTGACCCCTCCAAAGTTCCCCCAGTGTAATGCACCTGTACGCTAGCTGATGCTGTGAAAAATGGTACAAATATACGAGATGACAGTAGTTATCGACCTCGGCCACGTCCCCGTCCGCGACCCCGTCCGCGACCTCGTCCCACAGGCCTCCCTAAGGACACATCGGGCAGAGGAAAGAAAGTCAATTGAACAGATAAAAAGCACTCTTACTCAAAGGTACAAAGGCAATATACAAATACCAGCAGTTGGCTTCTTGGGCTTGACCCTTGGTGTCTCCTCTACAAGTAATGTTTCCAGGTTCAAGCTGTCAGGGAGAATATAATAGCGGATGTTGGTACCCCTTACACTTAGATGGTCAAGAGTAACTGGATTTTTTCCCTTTAGTGTCAGCTTCACAGTCTTCAAGTGTGTATTCATGCTGATATCCACCCCTACAAGATTTGAAGCAAAATGTCACTACAATATTTTCAAATTTTTGAATGTTTTTTTTGGTAGTCCAGCAAGTCCAATAAGTGAAAAAATTGATTACAGAAGAAAGAAAGCCAATGGACTAATCAACATCGTGTTTGATTGCAAAATAAGAAAGCATTGGTAGGGTTCAAATTTCGGCAGCCTCACTGTCTAAGGTTACTGAATTGAAGTCTCCAACTAAGTTATCTACCACAACGTTTCGTCAACAACACGACACGACTTTCTCTATAACATCTTTTGCAGTTCTATTAATCACTAGCCAAAACAGAAATCAGAAGGGTATGCTCAATAGAAAGTTAGAGCTCCTTGGTCCTTGGAGTACCCAGTAAAAAGAAGAATTGCAGAAAGAAACTACATATTTTTAGTCGTACAAAATTCCAATGGTTTTATGGCTTTAAAAAGACAACCACTCAGTTTTGCCAGCCTTTACCCAGCAGAGCTGAATCAAGTATTGGATTTAATTTTTTTTTCTCCAGAAAATCAGATTTGAGTGTCATTATCCATGACTCCATCAATAGTTCCAAGCTTTGAAACTTATCCTCCTGCTTATACCAAAAATATACAACTAAAGCAAGTGAAATGTTGATAAATTCTTTTGCACTTGCACATTCTTACACCTATTTTACTCTGTCCGATCATCTGCCGTAACCTTCTCAGAGCTCACCCTTTACTGGTCTTTCATTTAGCTTCAGGAAACTGAATGCTTTCTTTTTTGATAATGTCGATCACTTCATATACTATATTCTCCCACAAGAATTCCACCTTAATCTCTTTATTTCAGCTTCAAACATTTTTAAATTATATCGTTGCCTGACTACCTGGTACTGTATATCAAATAGCATAACTGCAGTTGTAACCGTTTACAAAATTTTCCTTTAACTTGTAAAGTTTTTAGACAACGGGAGATTACAATATTTAATACATTTTCATTTCAATCAACTTGCTCTGATTATGTAATATCATTTTGGCTCTTGATTAATTGTACTAAATCTGCATTTTCTATATTCTATTATAGTTATATTCAAGGGGAAGAATCTTGCAGGCACATTCTCCTGTGGTGCTCGTTTGTGCATCATTTTATTAGGGTTCGGCATATGGTTTGTTAGGTCTGAATTGGGTAATTGTTGGTTCTGTTAAGGAGGAACTTCGCCCTTAGAGAAGCATTCAAGGGGCTGAGAAGATAATTTTTATACCCTGGCTACTTAATGGGTAATACAGAAGGAAAGGAACATAAGAGCTTTTGAAGGGATTGAATCTAACTTTATTAACTTTAAGGATTCTTGGTCTCAGACCCTAAGCTTTTTAATCAAAGGTCATCCACTTTATTTTAGTGAGAATTTTATAAACCTAAAAGATATTTTGATAAACTTGTAAATCTTTGTACATGGATTGCATCTCATTGATGCTCTTGAATATATATATTGTCCATATTAAAAAAAAAAAAAATTATAGTTACATTCCACTCAAAACTTAGGACCCTACCTACATTATGCAATTTCAACAAGCTCACTTTAATTACTAGTTAGAACTAATGCTATTTCCTTCAAGTAACATATATCAAGGGTACGTCATCTAGAATGACTTGTAACCTCATGCATAACTCAGACAAGAGAAGATACAGATACAAAGCATATTCCTAGTGTAAAGTAATTTAAAACATCCATACTAACTCTAATAGATCTTATTAATTCCCGAATAAACAAATGTTTCCCCCAACTCAGACACAAAAATCCAAAATCAACCATATTACAGGAGACCTCGAAATCAATTTTATCCCTTTATACCTTCAAGGATCCCTGATTACTTTTCTTCTCTAAAGGCTTCAATAAGATCAATAGTGACAATATTAGCATGAGACCTGAGGGAGTTTCACTATGTCACATGTTTCTATGTTCCGCAACCTTCGCCAGGAGGCCCATAGTGTTAGCATTCAAAATTTTGGATTATTTTGAAATGAATTCCATATAGAATTGCGTAAAGGCATTCCATGGCCTTTTTAGATTCTACAAAACTTAATGGAATTTGAAAAGAAACTTGGGAGTCCAGAGAAGAATAAGCTTTAAAAAAAAATTTAACTCTTATTTGTGCTTCTCCAAATATAGTTATTTAATTCACTTCCAACAAATATGCTCAAATTTTATGTTTTATTTAGAAATAAAAGCTTATTTAGAGATAATTTCACACCTCACTTCAACCTAAAACTCAAAAAATACACACAAAATCAGCATTATAAGTTTCTAAGTATAAAATATAATCACAAAAACTTCCATTGAGTCCTTTAACAAAGACACTCGCACGTCGAAGCAAACAGGTAGAAAAATTTAGGAGGAAAGTACTCAAGACTGTAAATAAGCGGAGAGAGAGAGAGAGAGAGAGAGAGAGAGAGAGAGAGAGAGAGAGAGAGAGGAACCTGTGATCGTGCCATGAACTACTGTTCCGTTCTTGAGCTCGATAGACACAGTTTCATTGTTCAATTTCATCAAAAACCTAATTGATTTTCCACATCAAACGACAAAGAAATGACGCGAAAATAACAAGGAGATTCAGATAGCAAAAAAAAAAAAAATCAAGACCAATTTTTATACAACAAATTATTCGTTTAAAACTTTTTTTTTTATATATATATAAAAGAGAAACAATACCTTACGAGCTTCATATTCGTTGGTTTGCAAAGGGGAGGGTTTTAGGAGAAAATCAGTCAGAACCTTGCTTTGGTATCTTCGTATAAAGCACGTGCCCGACCCGAAAAACACAATCGGGTTACCATTAGTCCCTGGATCCGGTGTAGTATAGGTGTGAGTGGTCCGACCCAATACTAACCATGGGCCGAACGGACCAGCTCATGGTCCGGTTGAACCAGTACAACAATTTTTTTTTTTATCAATTTATTTATAAGATTTGTTCAATTTTTTTTTTTGAGCAGTTACTTTATTTTCTATTAAAAAAACTTAATGATTATAATAAATACGGCATCGTTTTTTTCTCGGACGGCTTTTCCCATTATATAATAGTAGCTACTTATGAGACCTAGATTTTTTTTTTAATATTAAAAGCATACATTAATAATTGAGTATATATATATAAGCATTTATATGCTCCGTTATTATTAATAATTCTTTCAATCACTATGCATCACATCACATTCAACATTCATGAGTCTTTCAAGGAACAAATAGAGATTTATAATTAATTATAAATAAGGAGAAAGGTTTATATATTAGTTTTAGTTTGTTTTGGTCTTTTAAATTTTGATGGAAAATAAATTAATTATAATAAAAAATAAAACATAAATAAAATGAAATATAAAATAAAATTACATAAAATAGAAGTGTAATTTCACCCTATAGAAAACAGTCAATTGCAAATTACAAGAGTCGTAAAGACGTCATTCAAAGGATTCTAAAAGATAGCCAGCCATTTATAGAAAATAAAAGTTTCCAACTGGAGTATTTGGAAAAGGTTACCCTCCATTCCTTTCCTCCCTCCTAAATTTATTGCTACTGAATTTACTCCCCTACCCCCCAGTATTTATTATTTAAAATAAATTAAAAAATCAAAGAATTAATTTATTTAATGAAATTTTTTATTTTTACATTATATAAAAAGAAAATAATCATTAATATTTGCTTAATAAAACAAACTATAAGCTTACAATAAGAAAAGAAAATGACGGTGGAAATTTTTTAATGTGATTGTATTAAATAATGACAAAGAGCACGTGAGTGTGTAGTTGAATTCCTGCAATCGTGAAATGACGTCCACCAATTATTCTCCGCTAACTCTCAGATTTTTTCCATACCCCAAAAAAGAAATATTTCAAATGAAAAAACTATTTTCCCAAACTACCCTTACCAGTTTGGACTCAATCACCCTAATCCTCAGGCCCTTTCTGGTAATTTCACAGCACACCGGGGAGGGGATCAACGGTTCCCAAGACCGCATCAGAGTCAGATCCCCACATAAAATAGGACTCCCCCCCTTCTCCTCTCCCCATTCTTCACCTCCATTTCTGTAACAGAAAAATAACAACACTAATAAGAGTGAAGCAGGGAGCTCCATTTCTGTAACAGAAAAATTACCTACGCACTCTGTTCGCACATTCTCTCTTCACTGATAAATCTCTGTAATTCTAGATTTCCACGGAGAACTTAACAATGGCGAGTACGGCAACGATTGGAGCTTTGAGAGTTCCTACCGTTTCTTCTTCTTCTTCGGCTTCGTCCAATTCCTCGAATCCGACCAGGAAGGCAGCCGTGAGGAGCTTGTCGTTCTCGTCGTCTTGTCTTTCAGGAGACAATGTTTTGTTGCGAGCGGTTTCTGGTCGCCGGGGAACTGCCAATGGAGACAGGAGACCAATGATCGTGTCTCCCAAGGCGGTTTCGGATTCTAAGAACTCGCAGACATGTCTTGATCCTGACGCCAGCAGGGTGAGTTTCTCCATTCCGAATGGTTTTTAAGAAAATGCGAAGTTAACGACGGTACATGAGATTCATGTGAAGTTGTTTCTCTTTTTGTCACTGTAGCTTTTAAAAATTGTTGTTTGATTCGATTAATTATTCCTTTTTGGTTTCCTGTTGTGGGAAACAGTTGCATGATTGCTTCTATTATAAACTTTATTTTATGTGCGTATTCCTTTGCATAAGTAACACGCACAGATATAACAAACTCGTATATTTGACGGATCTTCTTCATTATAGTCGATGAATCACTGCATTTACATGTATTTGGCAGTCAAATGGATAATAATTTGAATTCAAATGGTCACAACATTATCTTCAAAATCGTGATCTAAGTAGTCCTATGAATGGAATAGATGAATTCTATGCGCAGGAGTTCTACATACAAAAGTCGGTCGGGTCCCAACTCGATACGGAATTCATGATGTCATTCTTTTACAATCTAGCCCTTATTGGACGAGCAGCGGAGGGTTCCTGTGGGTTTCTAATCCCATTTGTATTTCCATTTAAGAGTTATCTATATTGTACTATAATTGATTTACGTATATTAGTGATTGATAAAATTATTAAGAACTTTTTTAGTCCTCCTTTAGAAATTTATGCACCGGATTAATTATATGTACATCCAATCAGGTAGATGAGAATCAAGGATCCCAACTGATTATTTTATGGTTCACAAACTGATCATGAAGTTCTCCGCTTTTTATCTCTTTTGCGCTGTGGAGTTCCTGTAAATTACATAATAACTTTTTTTCTTTCAATTTCTGATTTCGAATAGAGCGTGCTAGGTATTATTCTTGGAGGTGGTGCCGGGACCCGACTCTACCCTCTTACCAAGAAGAGGGCAAAACCTGCTGTTCCTCTAGGTGCGAATTACAGGCTGATTGATATTCCTGTCAGCAACTGTTTGAACAGTAATATATCGAAAATCTATGTTCTTACACAATTCAATTCTGCATCACTCAATCGCCACCTTTCACGAGCATACGCGAGCAACATGGCTGGTTACAAGAATGAAGGTTTCGTTGAAGTTCTTGCCGCTCAGCAGAGTCCAGAAAACCCAAATTGGTTTCAGGTACGATTGTAAATTCAATATTCAATTCTTTGTTTCTACTTCTTTCTTTTAATTCTTCTAGAAATTATTTGTCTTCTTAAAAAAAATGACAACTTCTGATCAGGAGGTGAGACTTTAGCATTTGGATTCATGTAGCTAAGTTGCCATTAAGGCCTAATTGAGTTGAGTTGGTAGAAACCCAATTGAGATGAATCATTTTTATAATTACAAATTCTAATAAATATAATGGTGTTGGAATGATTTTACTTTCAGTATCTTATCTCCAAATTGTTACTCTGAAAAAAAAAAAAAATTCAGGGCACAGCTGATGCGGTCAGGCAATATTTGTGGTTGTTCGAGGAGCACAACGTTTTGGAATTCCTAGTTCTTGCTGGGGATCATTTGTATCGGATGGATTATGAAAGGTTTATTCAAGCACACAGGGAAACTGATGCTGATATCACAGTGGCTGCATTGCCCATGGATGAAAAGCGGGCCTCTGCATTTGGATTAATGAAGATTGACGAAGAAGGACGCATAATTGAATTTGCCGAGAAACCTAAAGGGGAGCAACTGAAAGCTATGCAGGTGAATTTCCTTCCGATAATTTAGTTACATAAAGTATGATTCTATTGGTAAGTTTGTCTTGCTATAGCTACTTAGTTCTAATATATTATTGTTTGGCCGCTAGGTTGATACTACAATTTTAGGTCTTGATGATGCAAGAGCAAAAGAGATGCCTTATATTGCTAGTATGGGTATATATGTTGTCAGCAAAGATGTGATGTTAGAGTTGCTTCGAGATAGGTTTCCTGGAGCCAATGATTTTGGGAGTGAGGTTATTCCTGGTGCTACCTCCGTTGGAATGAGAGTAAGTCTCTTTTAGTTTAGCTCAATTTGATTCCTCTTAAAATCTTCTAACAAACTGGCTCTTTCAGTAATTATGGAGTTTGGTTTGTGTGGATTTTGGTCCAAGTTGAAACTAATTTTGTCAGTTCCTTAACATGTCCATCAACTAATGGGCATTTGCTTGTGCCCAATACAGCGCTCTGCTTCAGAATTGGAGTTTGGCCGTGGTCCGGTCCTGTACTTAAAATACTTGCCTCCTTCCAAATAAATTGAAAACCACAAATGATTCTAATCCTTTTGAGACTCATGAAAGTGAGAAATCATAATATCTTCTATGTTTTCAACAATTACAACCTCTCCTTGCAAATTTTATCTACTCATCTGTTATAGTTACTTCATATATTTTAGATTTGTTTCTAAACCTGAATTTCCTATCAAGATTTCTGTGGTTTAATACTTCTTAACATTTCTAGGTGCAAGCTTATTTGTATGATGGCTATTGGGAAGATATTGGTACTATTGAGGCATTTTATAACGCAAATCTTGGCATCACCAAAAAACCAGTGCCAGATTTCAGGTAGTTCTTAGTCATTGTTGTAAAATCATCCTACCAGCTGGTGAACTAGGTCAAAGATTTGAGAAGTCCTAAAATTATGGGCCTATTTCTGCAGCTTCTACGATCGTTCAGCTCCAATCTACACCCAACCTCGGTATTTGCCTCCATCCAAGATGCTTGATGCTGATGTTACTGATAGTGTGATTGGTGAGGGTTGTGTAATTAAGGTAACTCAACTGGCTAACTTGTTTGTGGTTGGCTATAACTTCTACCCTAGGCAATGTAACATTAAGTTATTTGTTGGAATCAATTCTACCTTTTCTTTAATGCAGAACTGTAAAATTCATCATTCTGTGGTTGGACTTCGATCTTGCATTTCAGAGGGTGCAATCATAGAAGATTCATTATTAATGGGAGCTGACTATTATGAGGTATTATTACTTCCTGAAAGTTAAGTCAAGTGGCCAATTAAATATGCTAATGTTATTTTTTCAAGATGTGTAATTGACCTTAATTATATACAATGGCAAATATAGATTGCAATCAGCAGGAAACGATAATTTACTGAATTCCATTTTCATTTATATTAATTATTTTTTCTCATTGTTTTGTTCCAGACTGATGCTGATAGGAGATTTTTGGCTGCAAAGGGTAGTGTTCCTATCGGTATTGGCAAGAATTCTCACATAAAGAGGGCAATTATTGACAAGAACGCTCGAATTGGGGACAATGTCAAGGTTGTGATTTTACCAATTTACTCTTCCTATGTCTGTTAAATTGGCTCTCAATTTTAGGGTTTCTCCCACCTGCACCTGCTTTAGAGACATTTGTTATTAGCAGTCACATCCACTGAAAATCTTCCAAGAAGAAACTGCTTGGCCATGACGGCACTAAAATATTGATATCAATGCATGCAACTGGTTTCTATTGGACATAAACGAACTACATGTAGGTTTACAACTGGCATTGGTCCACTACATGCTATGCTCTCCTACTCATATGTCCTGATCTCCTTGTCTCGGTTCTCTTAGAACCATAGTTGTGTCATTCAAAGATTTTGATCTTTAACAAGAAATTCCGTATCTCTATTTGCAGATTATCAACAGTGACAATGTGCAAGAGGCAGCGAGAGAAACAGATGGATATTTCATTAAAAGTGGGATTGTCACTGTAATTAAGGATGCTTTGATTCCTAGCGGGACAGTAATCTGAGAATTTCTTGTGAGTTACAATTTTAACTGCTGTTACCTCTTCTCTGCGATTCCTGAGAAAGTAATCTGCAATGGAAAATCTGCTTCCCCGTTACAGTAGGTTCTGTTTCTTTAATCTGTAGTTGTATATTTCTCGGTTATGTACTAATGCAATGTAATTAAGAGAGGAAGAGAGGACGTGGAAGACATGCTGTAAAGGCCTAGTTCTTCCAAAATAAAAGCTTTTCCCCCTTCCTATAGTTTTCTTTCCTGTTTTCTTTCATGTTCCCTTATTTTACTTTCTTGTCATAATTAAAATATTTATTAGATATTGTAGGAGCACAAGCCATGGGTTGGAAATCTCTGAATGTTATTGGTTCGAATTGATTCTTTTTGTATGGTCTTTCTACATAGACCTAAAATAAATTAATCATATATTCTTTCTACTTATTTTAACCCATGTAACAGCTAGTAATGACCCAATTAAGTTGGATGTCTCTGTTGAATCGATGATCGGAGTTGTTGCTTTCTTGATTTCATGTTGCAGCCAGCAAATTTCCTCTGGAACTGAAAGAGGTCTGACTGGTGGCTATACAACATCGTTTTATTTGAGTTATTGACAAGGTTTCATTTGATACAAATTGGGAAGGAAGAAGAGAAGCAAATCTGGAAGCTTAAAAAATTAGGATGAAATAAATAGAGCAGAGCAAAGTTGTCATGATCGGAGCTGCTCCCAAGGTAATAATATCTTACTCCATAAATGGATCCCCTGCCAGCATAGACTGGTTCTCCTTGGTAGGCCTCAAGAAAACACAGAAATCCCCTGGTGCTCCGATGATTGCCAGAGTATTTTTCATTTTGAGTTTTGCGAAAAACACGTTCACACGAATTTATAATTCGAGATAAAGATGATGGTTGAATGATTAAAAAAAAGAAGTGTAGTTGGGAAATCAAATGAGAAAACCATTAAAGATAGAATATACATAGCCGAGATAATTGAGAACCCAGAACTTAATCTTGCTACAAAGCAAAGACAAGCAGGCTTCTGTAGGGACCTCCCCTGTTCTGTAAACAACTCCTCATTGTAGTTGTCACCAAAAGTCTATATAAATATGAGCCTTTTAACTGGGAAACACTTTGTGTATAGATATATATATGTATCTATATATTTATAGATATGTTATATTTTTGCTGTGATGAAAATGCTGGCCTGCATGTCACCATGTCACAAGTTCCTGACGTTAGTTTCTGAACTTTTTTTTTAAACTGATGATGCTTGCAGTCAACTGAAAATATAGAGAAAACAGATTTAGTTTAATGTTTTAAATAACAAGGTCAACTTCCTGCTTTTTTAACTTTTATATATATATATATATATGTATATATATCAAGTTCTAACAAAGCATATACAAAAGTGTATTCAGGATTCCTTGCAGGATTGGGTTAGCATTAATCTTATATTTCCATTCTAAAATGTTCCTGATTTAGTTGTGGTATGCGGTGTGAATGCAGATGATAAAAGTCATTTTGTTGTTATTTAAAGTATTTAATTCAGAATTATTTTAATTAGAAGGTATTATATATATATATAAATAATTAAAGATCATGTGATATTAAAATAATACATTTTTAATTCTATCCACTTTTAATGAAATTGATTAAATTCTTTCTGTTTCATATAAAATTTTATAAAAGTTTAATTTTTTATCTTTTTAAACCATCAACAATCATATAATTTTCTAAAAAACAATATATATATATATAATATAATATAATATAAACTCAGTATGTAAAGACTTTGATAGAGAATAAGAAATAACCACCATCTAGTATAAAAATGAAATTCTTTAAATTTTAAGAAAAACATAAATCATGAATAAAATTAACCAATAATATCTAAACAATTTTGTGTTATATGCTCAGTGGGGAATATACTGTATCTGGAACCGAATATTATAATTAATTAGACAGAGGTTGCATTAATATGTTCAGATACGAAACTTTGACCATTGTTATCCATTTAATTAATTATTATTATTGCTGCATGGACAGACAAAAAGGATACAACACCAAAGAAACGACAAAACAAAAGCAAATAAAATTTACAAGTTTTAACTTGATTCCCTCGTCTTTTCATCATAGGAAGAAGAATCCCAAGAATTTCTTACGTAGACCTTTTCCTACTCTGACAAAGGTGTTTAATTTAAAGAAACCAAGGAAGATACTTGGAACATCTATCTATCTATCTCTCTCTCTATATATATATATATATTATAATGGGCTGAATTAATCTCTTCACACGCACACACACATATATATATATGCGTGTGTGTATGTGTGCGTGTTTGTGTGTGTATATATATATATGTATACATAAAGTAGAAGAAGCCGGTAAGTTGAGGAACATAGAGAAGATGGCAAGGGCTCTGCAAGTACAAATGGCAGGAGAAGAGGTGGGTATTATGTTGATAATTTGCCAAGTTTTGGTGGCGCTTTCCATCTTGTCCGCCATTGTTTTTGGTTGTGGTGATTACAGCACTGAAGAAGACAAAGACAAGGAGAAGGAGAAGAAAGATCGGAAAGAAAATGATCAGGTTACCGTCAGCTGTTGCGATGGCGGTTGCTGCAATGCCGAATGTGGTGCCTGTGGCGGTGGAAATGACGGAGATGGCGGAGGCTGCGGTGGTTGCGGTGGTGATTGATATTCCCTTCAACGTTTTGCTAATAGAGAAGATCAAATAATTAATGCCATTAGTTTTGCAGTAAATTGAATTAATTAATATTCTTCATGTAGATTGAATATTGTCTTTGAAATCATCACGAGATCGTGTAAGAAATACGTTCATATATATGGCATTCTTTTTTTTTTTTTTTTTTTCTAAATAATTTTAATTTTGATAATAATATTTATTAAAACTACAGTGAAATTTTAATTTCAACTTTTATAATATAAATTAAATTATTCAAAAATTAAAAAAATTAATCATGTACTATCGTAACAAAATAAAGTAAATAAAAAAGACATACGAAATTTAATGATAATGTGTTTACAAAAATTAAAAAATATTTCTTAAATAAAATTCTTTAAAATATACATTAAATATTTATTAAAATAAATATAAAATATTTATTAGTATAAACACAAACTATTTTCAAAATATATATATAATATATCCAAAAATTTAAATCAGATATAAGTTAAAGGATAACCCAGTTGCATTTGGTTGATTCACCATAATCAGTCAATCCTCAATTCTTAAATAGATTAAACTTTGTATCTTATTATTATTATTTTTTTTAAAAAAGTCAACCAATTGAAAGTCAACTCAATTCTAGCTTCGCACGATTAACTAATAAAAATAACTGATTACCTATAGATTCTAATTGATGTTCCTTAATTAATCATTGAATTTTACATTAATTTTTTGATAGAATTTTTTATATTAATTAATTAAATAATACTTAAAAAAACCATAACATAATTTATGGAGAATTTACAGTCTATAAATATTAACCACGTGGAAGAAAAGGAAAAAGATTGCCAAGGTCTCCAATTTTTAATTTCCTTTTCTTTTCTTATTATGACCATTTTTAAGGAAACCTGGCTGAAGTTTCTTCGAAAGTGTATATACATATATATGCACACACACACACACACATGCATATAGGTCGTAATATCTATGAATTAGTCGAGTATTGACTTGGTTAATTAATTAGCTCTGTGTGCGTGTATAAATTAAGATGGAAAGGATAGGATGATTAGGGTAAGTATAGTGATTAGTAGAAGAATATTAAAGATGGCAAGGACCCTGCCAGTTGGCGGGGAGGAGGCCGGTATGATTTCTGGCGGCGGGCTTAATCTGTTTCTGGTTTTCCAAGTCTTGGTGGGGTTCTGGATCTTATCCGCAGTTGTTTTCGCCTGTGCAGATGGCCATGGAAACCACCTCGCCAAGAAGAAGCACTCAACTAGCGGCGGCTGTGGTGGCGGAGGTTGCGGTGGCGGCGGCTGCGGTGGTTGTGGTGGTTAATTCACTTCCAACGAACTACTGCATGTATCTACATATATTGTATACATAAAATAGTCGTGTGTGTGTGTGTATATGTATTAAAATAAAATCATCTCCTTCCTTTAATGCAAGAGTTGTGTATGATGTGTGTACTTTTGTTAAGAAATTTATGTAATTCATAATTTGTAATTTAAAATAACATCTTTTTAATTAAATAATACATATATACTAATCATAATTATTAATTAAGCAATATATATATATATTAATCATAATATAAACTTTTAAGAATAAAATAAGAATAACTATTGTGATTTTAATCTAGAAATATTTATAAAGTAAATTACACTTATATTCGTGCAACCTCAAGGGTTCTGCACATCAGAAATTTCTGATTAATTTTTGTTTATTATTGCAATCAGTTATTAAAAAAAAACGTAGCCGTTGATGACTAGATATCGGATTTCCATTTTTTTC